ACTTTCAATGGAATTTTGTCTCTTAAGTCACTTGGTGATTTTTGAAATTCTCACCATTATAGTTTAGGACCTCAGCAGCAGCAAAAACTCAAATAGCTTCTTAACTTTTGCTGGAAGAAAGAGTCCAAATTAGGTACAATATTGATATTACTTTAAGCTTTGTGACACTACTGAGAAGCCTCACTTATTTAACCTCCAATAACAAGAAATGTATTGAAAAGGCTAATTTAGTAAATTAGGTGAGATTCAATCTTTAAAATTAGCTAACTCTTGCCCCCCTCACAAACTTCAATTTCAGGATGGATTTTAGAAGCTAATACAGTCTCAAGATCCTAGAGAAATTACTGTTTTAACCAACTCTTAGAAGATACATAGTATAGGTTCAAGTACGCCAAATTCTAGTGATGGGGCCACCAAAATCAAATCAGAACTGAAGCATGGAGAAAAGGCAAATGATGCTATTTTAAAATATGATATCTCAAGAGCCAATATTGCTATATATTATTGAAAAGATGGAATTGGGTTTACATGCAATGGCATATTGATGTATTTCTGCCTCCTTTTTCATGAGATAATGGATCTTAAAAAGATCAAGTAGTACTTTGGGACAGAACTACAGGCCGTTTACCACATAGTCTGGATCCTTACAATATCCTAACTCACCAGGACCTGTTCACCCCAAATAAAGTGGATGGAGCTGGTTGTTTTCTAGTGAAAGTGATTCCGATGTCATTTAAAGAAGATCTACAATGCTAGGGTAGAAGAGAAGGCATAACAAACTATAAAGAATGTGAAAGGTAGGAAGACTGTCTGTACAGTCTGTCTGTCTCAGGCCTACTATGATTCTGCTTTGTGTTCTGCTGGGATAAATGAAATTGTTCTCCTAAATGTTTATGCTGCTAAGACAATGGATTGAAAATTGCAGAGATATTGCACATTGTCAGAAAAACAAGTATAGATACTGTACTATGTATTTGGCTCTATAAGATATTCATGAAGTAAGAACAATGCTTGGAGTCAGGGCCAGTTCTGACTGGTAACAAAGTCTGCAGCCACATGCTGAGAGAGTTCTGTCTATCTTGCACCGTACGTCAATCCCCCTTTGCACACCACATTTTAGGAGTGAAGGCCCCCACCTCATGGCCAGAGGACAGCTGTGAGTCCTGAGGATGACAGTGCTCTATGCTGGAACTACTGCTGAGCTGCCTGAACAATTTTGTGAGGGAGAAGGGTGTTTTGTTTTCGAACCTGATGCCTGCAGTTTTACAGAGAAATCAGGTTCTATTCCATTTCTTTTTTCCCCCCTCCTCAGCATGGTGCTCTTTGGCAGAAAAGAGTCTGAGAATGAGGAAAGCGAGAGAGAAAGAGAGATGTGCAAGCAAGCCAGAAATAAATCCTGAAGTTGCTAACACAAAAAGTGTCTAACTAGTAAAAGACATTTGTCATTTGGATGTCAGTGTTTTGTATCTTTGACACTATCACTGAGAAAAAAATAATATCCCGAAATAGGATGCATGATCTAAGTCTCTGGATTTGGTTTGGAAAGCCATCGGCACTTGTTGGTGGATGCACGTGTTCTATGTATGAGGAGTATTTTGGGCAGAGACCCAACAAGTGAACAGGACAAGCTGGACATAAATCTGTGGCTGGAAATGATAACATTGTACAGGGAGTTGGCATTTCAAGACATAATTAGTGAATTTTCCATCTCAAATCAGGCAGCAACTGAGCAGAGAGGCAAATATATACAGTTATCAGAGGCTAGTACATACAAATATTATACAGTTATCAGGTGACAAATATACTAAAACTGGACACTTATGTGCTCCGTGTTGCTGGGGTTCTGTATTCTTACTACATGCTTCAAACAGGTGACAGCATAGCTTTTGTCATATTTAGACATTATTACTCAAGGTCATTTGTAGGGCTGGACAAATGTGGCAGAAAACCTTTAATGTGTATTGACCTGATTTTTTAAAATTCATTTTCTTCAACCAGATTTACTTCCTACAAATAGTCCAGCAAACGAGTTTATAGACAAGAATGTTTGTGGAAACAATGAATTTTAAGCAAATATTTCAAAAATTCTGTGGGCATTCACACCAGAATCTTGATGTAATGGCTTAAGTCCATCTATCAGTAAAAGAGAAACATGCAATGGGCTGAAGTAGATTGATATCAATCCATTGCCTTTAACAACCCCAAAATAGTTGCAGAAATTATTTGGTTAATAATTTCAAAGAAAGAATATATTAGAAAAAAATACAATTCTCTCATGGACAATTCACTAAGATAAGAAACAAAATTTGTTCAATAAATTATTCATTATGAATTACTGGACCAGCTTTTTTTTTTTTTTTTTTTTTGTACTATACAGAGCAACAACTCTTCTGGGAACAGAATAATCATTGCTAAAATAACACAACAAGGTAAAAGGGGATTTGCTCTAAGCATCTGATTTTGCTTTTTTGAAACTATTTGTGAGTACATTTAGCACTAGTGAAAAGTACCAAACTGACAGCTTGGTGATGAAAGCCCCATATCCACAAACCGGAAACAGCTTAGGCAGTGACAGGGCAACTCTGTCACATTCCTTTGCTATTGTTATGGAGGGCCCCCCTCCTGAACTCCCTTCTCCCCACCTTCCAGTGGTCAGCTAGTTTCATCCCACTGTTGCCAATTTCGTCATTTTCCAACCTCTCCTTTAAATTGGAACATCCCTTCCAATTTCAATTTCTGGGGAAAACACTGGTCCTGATCCAATACCAAATGAAGTCAACAGGTGCTGGTTTAAGCATTAAATGAGAGAGTACATAGTTGGTTCTCCATTTCTATTTAATCCTAGATCCCTTATTGAATTTGCTAACAAGAGGACTAGTCGGTATCAATTTTTAGTGGTATCTGTCTGATTCTACCAACTCATCTTGCATAAGTCACTAAAGATCTGCCAAATGGTAACAATTTTCAGCCACAACCGAACAGAACAACGTGTGACCTGGCGTACTCAAAGTGAAATGCTTTGTATCCTTATCACCCATCCCTCAAGTCCTCATATGCTTCATAAACATTTGGTATGTAGATTTATTATGTCTTAAACAAACACCACAATATAAGTTCTATTTAGAAAAGTGAACTATGATGTTATATGTATAGATAAGGTTATATTTTGTGGAAACCTCTTGGAGTGTACTCTAGTTTAACCAACCCAAATATTTCATTTTAAGCACTGATATTTGCACTGAGAATTTGGAGATGGTTCACACGGCCTTTTTAAAGATGTTTCTCTTTATGTGCATCAGCTAAGCAGAAAATCATGATCAAGTACAGAGTAGGTTCAGGCAAAGAACAGGAAAAATTCGGTTTCACATTTCAAGATGCTAATGAAACAGAAAGGGTTTAATCCTCAACCGGTGTAAATTGGTGTAGCTCCATTGACTTCAATAAAGCTATGACGATTTATATCAGCTGAGGATTGGGCCCAAGAGAAGAAATGATGTGCGGTTATTACCAGTTGAGTGATTTTCTCCTGATGCCAATTACTGTCAGGAAACAGAAGTAAGTAGGGATTTATGCACATTTATATGCAGTAGAATGAGTTTGGCATGGACAGCATGAAGGAGCAAGGCACTCCATTTCAAAATGCCAAACTATGCTCAACAGAAAAATGAGGACCCATTAATACTAATACCACGATTTGGGAACAAATCTATAGGGAAGATGTCCTCAGCAGGTGAATAAAATAGAGAGAAGGAGGTAACACTGCTAACATAATATGTTTGGTGCCTGTCACCCAGACTGATCTCTTACTGCCAAACCATGAGGTCTTTTTACTGGAAAATTCTAAAGAATTATTTTGTGCATGTCATTTTTGTAGCCCATTTCCGCAACTGATATTCCCTTGTGAGTACAAAATTATGTTTAAAATACAGCCAAAGAAGCATAGCTTTAAACGAAAAAAGATGCATTGGGAAAGGAACATGTCACAGCTAATTATGAAAAAATATTTCATACTTATATGCAGCTTTTTTCTCTTGAGGATTCAAAGTGCTTTACAAACCATTACTCAGTGAACCCTCACAACAACCTCAGAAATTAACTATTATACCTATTTTACAGATCAGTAAACTGTAGCACAGGAAGGTTAAGTAGCTTGTCCAGTGTCAGATAGCAAACCCGCATGTGTAGATTCCCTGTCCAAGATTTTAAAAACTAGGATTATAGTCCCTAATTTGATTTAATACATGGTACTTTCTGTACCTTTAGCAGGTAAAGCAAATCTCTAGCTTTTTATATTGCACTAAAAAGAACAGTGCATTTTGTCAGTATCCTCTCTTACATGAGCTGATTATCATGGGGACATAGACCAGGAAGTTCCCTCATTTTCCTCATAATGTAGGAAACAAGGGAACATTAAGATTTAATATCACTTCATCAGTAGTCCAGAAATCTGAGAAGCCTGCAAGGGTTCTGCTCTGGTCTCCAGCCGCTCTCAGTCACAGAGAAAATATTTATTTTTATTAAGATTAAGCATGTTCTTTTAAATCTTTCCCTGATGTTTTTAAATACTTTGCCTCTTTTGTCTTATTACACTATTCCATGTTTTGCCTTCCCATCTTCCTTTTCCTCCTTTGAGGTATCAGTGCTCCTCTCTCTGACATTGTGTTGCACTATTATTTTTTTTCCCCTTTTTTGAAGAAATCTTATTTTTCTTCCTTTGTCTGCCATTGCTTCTGCCTACTATAGCTATTCTACTAAATCAGTAAGAGAATATGGAACATATGCTCTGATGATAGTGTTCATTATAAAATGACAGATGAACAAAACACCTTCCAGTTCTTTCATCTCACACCTGCATATTGAGTGTAACCTATTCTCCATGGTACAAAGATGCACTTGGGATGGGTTTTTTTAAAACCAAAATCCACTCTTATGACCATACAGTACAGCTATCTGTACACTTCAAAGGGAAATAAGGATAACATGCAGTACTTTTTACTTACAGGTATCTAAAGACTCATCTGAATCATCTGGACAGTCGGGTTCTCCATCACATAGCCAATTTTGAGACACACAAGTCACATGATCATCGCAAAGAAACTCTCCTATGTCACACAGCTGTTCTTCTGAAAAGGAAAATGTTTTTACATGGAATGATTAACAGATGAGTGAAAATAAAGAGACAAAATGGTATGATAATTAAATAGGAAATTAAAGCAAATACACAAAAGAACATGACTATGAGTTGAAAGCTGAACAAGATCTTTAACAGCCAGATTATGATGATTTAGACTGAGCAGTGCATCACCCTCTGCAAAGTCCTACTGAAGTAAATTAAGAGATTAAGGTACATCCAGACATGAGTAAAGATAACATAATCTGTCCCTATAAAAATAAGATAGAAGTTTCATATTTTTTTTGCTAATTTTTAGTTTCAAGCATATCATCATGAGATCATCTTGGTCATTATATGGAATCCAACAAGCTTTATGTCTATAATATCTGCCTGCATGAAATGGCTGGTTATTGTCAGAAATGTCTATTTGCAGGAAAGGACTCAGTGACAATATGATTTCCTTATTTTGTTCTCAAAGAGCTTTAACAAATTGTGCACCCAAATCAAAAGCTTTTTCCAGGAAAGGTCTTCTGTGATAGCCAAAGACCCTGCTCTCATAGTTTTAACTATTTTTTTTATACTGAGTTTACTCAGATGACATTAAACTCAAAACCACATCTCATGTTAAAAAATAATAATACTCAAAGAAGTACTACTAATATTAATACTCATGGTTTCTACAGTGCTTTAAAAACACTAAAGGCCCACTTTAAAAAAAAAGGGGGCCTTAATTGTTTGCAGGCACAAATGCTAGTATTTAACCACTTAATTATTTTTGCAAACCAGATAGATTTTTTTTTAACAGTAATTTTGCTGATCATGGCTGTAAAATTGTAAACTGAGTTTAAAACACTGGCCATAAGGGACCAACACTGCATGTGTTGCACACCAAAAACACCTGCTGGCTTCAATCAACAATTCCTGCCTTACTGAAGTTTCAGGTTGAAATAATGCAGGAGTAGGTAATCATTAATTGAACCTACAACACCTCTGTGCAGTAAATACTATTCATTTTACTGATGTGCAAATTGCAGCAGTGCCTTTCCCAAGGTCACACTGCAGATTAGTGGACAGAGCCCGTCTAATTCTTCTCTCAGTTACACCATTGAAGACCAGAAATAACTCTATTAAAGTCACTGGTATTGCAACAGTGTAAAATTGGTATAATTATGAGGAGATTTAGGGCTCCTGCTCCCTCGTTCCATTCCTAGACCAGTACATCAGCTCAGTTCATAGTGAAAGCTAATAGATGTTGCTATGATTTCCAATTGTTATTACATTTCATTGTTTTTATATATAGCTGTTCTGAGTGACTGAAACTGACTGGCTCTTACATGAGATCTGTTTTGCTACAGCATGTGATTAAAGGCTTCTAATTATCAAGGAGCCCATCGGTGGTTATGTGCCCATTCTTAGTTATGTGTGTTAATGGTAAAATAGTCTTATGAAGACAAAATCCAATGTACTTCGTAGCAATGTAATTGTCATCCTAGACAATAGTTATATATAGCATTGTCTAATCAGGGCAAGATGTGCCTCTAGTGTGCTTGCTAAAGCAGTCTCAGGGCTTTAAAGAACATTCTTATTGTTGCACAGTTTTAGGGACAGTTATATATTATCCCTCTAGGAAATAGCAGCTTGTTTCAAGTAGCCTATTTATTTTGTACCCAGATATTCCATTTTCAAGGTCAGCCTCTGAAGCTATTGATGATTACACATTTAAATAAGTGAATTTCCAGCTATTATATAAATAGACATTTTACATTATTTAAAATTATCTACTGTGCAGTTCTTTGCTCTTTAAAAGGATGAGCATTTTTTGTATGTTTTTCATTTATCATATTTAGTAAAACAGCCTACAGTGCTGAGCTGCTCAAGCTAATCTTTTAAAAAAAAATCTTCTCTTTGTTAAAAAACCCCCCAAAATACTGTATAATTAAAAACATAGGCTTATGAGATCATAGAGGATCTTTGGGGAAAAGTTCAAAACTCCTAGTATATGTACCACTTCCTAAAAAATAGCACGGGAAGCATAACTGAGAGAAAAAGTTTTGCCATTTACAGGTTATCCTCTTTTCTTAAGGGGAGTTGTATACAGAAATCCATATGTGTCAACACATATCAATTTACTATTACTTTCAACAGTAATGCACTTCTAAAAATTAACCTTTTAGCACAAGAGGATTTATGTGCAACTTTCCATACATTAGGTTGAAAGTATAACCCTCATGTAGTGCCACATCTGTTCTACTTAGAGGCAGATGTTTAAAAAAATAAATTGTAATTATAGTACCAAAAAACTACAAGAAAGCAGTAAACTAACATGCCAACTTATCTATATAATTTAAATACAGCTCAAGAGTGAACTACTCATTTATACAGAGGTACTCTTATAATGTACCATACATACTGGTTTTGGTACAATTTGGTATCACAGCTGTGCTAGGAATATTAAATAAAGTTTCAGTGGGATTCATAATATTTTATTCAAGTTATATCGATGTAAATTTTTACACTACTAGGAAATTTCAGAAACCCAGATACTAATGCTCATTCCTTTAAAATGTACAAGCTAAGATTCATAAGAGATACTGAAATATTTTAAATAATATATTAGATAATATTAATTTCTTATTGAATGTCAGAACTAATAGCTAAAAGGGGCCATGGCAGTCTAAAAGTACAACAAAGCTGTGATTTGTGGGAACACATATGCAGATAAGTAACTATGCACATGAGCAGTCCCAATGGGACTCAAAATTACTCCCATGCATAAATGTTTATCAGAGTGAGGCATAAATGTTTTTTTTTTCCCCTTTAAATTCTGATTGGCAATAATTTGGGTGGAGAGAGAAATCCACATTTACTGTCATTCACTGATTGAAATGTAATCCTCTGAGCCTAATTATATACTGCAGCCAGCAATGACTGGAGGAAATTACACTTTAAATCAATTAACAATTCCAGCACAATTATTTAAGATTGGAATCATTGTGAAAAACCCAAATTAAGGGTCATTGAAGTCAATGGTAGTTTTCCAAGTCTGGGCCCTAGGCATTTTGTTTGTTTGTTTTACTGCAATAGACCCATATTAGAGCTGAGTTAGCATTATCCATAGCTACTAGGACTGACATTGGAGACAAGTTAGTTGTTAGTAGGAAATGGGCTTCTTAAAAAGGAATAGAGTCCAATTCCTCCACAGTCCTTAGACACTGCACTTCTGAGAAAGTGATAACACACCAGACAGGAGACAAGCTGTGAGCCTGTACTATCATTAATTTAAAGACCTTTCTCCTCTGCTACATTCCATTATGGTTTATACCTTTATCTTTCTTAATAAAATACCTTTTTCCTCCTTGATGTCAACTGCCAGTCAAAAGGCATCAGAACACTTCTAATGCCAGCAGTAATGAACGGAAACGCATGACAGAAGCCTCTGAATAGCACCATAAATGCCCAAGTAAATGGCACCAGTGGTTAGGAAATATATGAAGGGGCAAGTGTCTTATCATTTTCAAGGGTATCGAGTGTGACACAAAAAACTTTTTCTGTTGTGTGAAGAAAATTTAGGGTGAGGAGAGAACAGTTTGCTATCTTCCCAGAAACACGGATATTAATTTTTTTAATGGATCTTACTGACTACAGAATTTGTAATCCTCCCATGTCTATTAAACACCAAAAAGACGAAGTCTTTTTGAATCTCAAAATGGAATGTATGCCTGCAAAAAAGCCTCCTTACCAAAACTAACAACAACAAAAATTACACAGAGCAGGTCAGAACAGTTCAGTATAAAGGAACTATATCTCTGTAAATATTTCAGATCATATTTAACATGCTTCTTTTAAGAGGAGAAAATATTTGTCCTTGGTCATTTTAAAACTGATGAGCTCCTGGGTGGTTCTTTATTCAATGGTGTAGAAAGTTAAAAATCTCACCCTTTTGCTGTCTTACCCTTTTTACCATCAGAAAAACTGATAGAGCAAAAATCCTACTTTTTAATTTGCCAAAATACATTGGGGGGGGGGATTTTGATTGGCATAAAGCAGCTTAATAGGATGCCCATTATACTATCCAATTTTTATTGGCATTTAAATTATCCTTTTTCCAATTCAGTTTTCTTTTATGTTTCCCTTACAGATGTATGTCTTTCTTTTGTCTGTCACTTTTGTAGCTCCTTTGAAATCAATCAGCCCGGTTACTTATAAATGCTGGACTAATGTGGAATTAAAAAAAAAAAAAACTGACCACCCAAGAGATGCTTCCTTATTAACTGCAGAGAAAATGGTTTCTTTCACTGACACTTCTTCCTATTCTTTTTTCATCTGCACTCTGTATGCTGCACAGCAAGACTCCCAGAGGAGGAAAAATTCACATATTTTTAACATACTGATACTTTGTGAGATACAGAGCAGATGGTTAGAAATCATCTCTCTATGGGTCAATGAAAGCTCTACCTCCCTAAGGATAGTACTCCATCCTGTGTTGTAAGCACCTGGCAGTGCCTCTTAGAATTAAAGTTTCACCAAAACAACTGACTTTGTGTTAAAGTAAATACATTTCTAGGTCCAAAAATGTCTCCCTGTATAAGACGGACCTACAGTTTAAGAAGGGAAACCTTAAAATCTCCCTTAGTTTCTAGAAAGTTTGTATAGGAAATATCCTAATGAACAAAATTATTAATGTCATACAATTAATCTTATTTTGGACTGCCAAAAATTCCACTAAGACTATATATTTACCCTTATTTACAATTTCCAAAGGTTATCACATTCATATATTCACAGCCACAGAGAGCAGCCATTGCTAAATGAGTAGAAAAATACTTTGAATGCAAGGTGGTGACCAATGTCTGCTTGCAAGAGGAAAACTGCAATTTTAATAAGACAGTTGCCCTTTGTAGACATGCATTTAAATCCTAAACGATGCAAAGGGATAAAGGTCCATTTTCTGTGATCACATTAGATGTCATAGGTATCTGGGTTGTTCTTATTTGGATGAACGCAAATTAT